CGTCCGCAGGGATTGGTCACTTTTGATCGAAACAAGATTTTGCAAAAACGCACGGGTTTGACCTTGACGAACTTCCTATCAAAGTCAAATGAATTGAATGAAATTTATCCGAAATTAATCAGATCACCCTAAAAAGGGTAAATTGATCAAATAGATTGAACGAAACTTGTTTTATTCAAAATCGGCTCGGTTGCCCTAAAAATGGGTAAATTGGTCAAATGCATGAAATTGAATTAGGGATTTATTCAAAAATCGGCCGAATGACCCTAAAAAGGGTAAATTGGTCAAAAGACCCTAAAAAGGGTAATTTGGTCAAATGAATTGACGATTCATTCAAAATCGACCGGATGACCCTAAGAAGGGTAAATTGGTCAAATGAATTAATGATTTATTCAAAATCGACCGGATGACCCTAAGAAGGGTAAATTGGTTAAATGCATTGATGATTTATTGAATGAATCGACCGGATGACCCTAAAAAGGGTACATTGGTCAAATGGATTAGATGAAATGAATTTATTCAAAAATGACTAGATTGAACTAAAATTGAATGAATTGGAAAATGATTTGTTCAAAAATCGATTGAATTATTCGCCCACTGGGTGGTTTCAAGAAATCATTACAATGCCTTGGTCTATGAGCTTCTAAAATCAAAATTTGGCCTCTATATTTATCGTCTCAACAATGAGGAATCATTTCTTCGAATTAACGTCCTTTTACGCAAGGGAATTTTACCAATTTTGAGAAAATGGCCAAAAAGTGATTATTAGATGCTCATATTCCAAAAAATTGCTTCATGAAAATGATCGGATCTTTACCTTACCTTGTGCACTACCCCTTCGGACGGTACGAGAAAGGTAAACGTGCAAGTCTCATTTGGATTATATATCCGAGACATGGGGTGGTTTATTCCTAACACGGGATCCCCTAAATGGCATTCCCTTTCTAGGGTTTATGCATGATGCCATTTATTAAAGCTATGTAAATATGTGACAAACACGAAATGTGAGCTAAAGGACATAAATAATGCAACGGGGGAAAAGGTCTAAACATGAAATGTATTCACTGAAAAGTAAGTGCAAAGACTGAAATTTAGACATGTGAGCTATCTAGTGGGTGAGTCACTAAAAGAGTGCCCAAGAGGCCTCTTATTGCTAAGGCACATGAATGCAAGCCAAGAAAACAAAAGAAATGGTTAGTGCAGTTGATAGTACACATAACACATTGGGAGCAATTAAGAAAAGAAAAACAATAAAGCAGGTAAAAGGGGTGGAACCCTCTCCCTCGTGCCTAATGTGCTTAAAATAGGGTGAGGCTGACTTAGCCTAGGAAAATGCTAATATGGATGCATGAGGCTGGGGTTCACTAATGCCTAGACTCGATAAAGCTTCGGTTCCCAAGCCTTCAGACCTAAAGGCGAAGGGTCATCACTCCCAGGGCCTTCGATCGGTGGCTCGAGTGATCCCTTAGGTAGCGCTATGGGCGCAGAGCACACCAGCCGCCTACCCAAGGCAATCGATCCTAATCCTACAAGGCGGTGTGGGATGGCGCCCACGAAAAACAAAATAAAATGGGATAAAGCAAGTAAACGTGCACGTATGAAGTGCTCCCCTATTTTGAGGGAAGGGGTGAGAACCACGCGAGGCTCTAAAGGTGACACACCCCCCCCAAATGCAATGCAAGCGCGAGATAAACAAGTAAACAACATCCAATCAACCAATCACACATACGTGAGTGAGAGAATAGTTGGATATGCGCGCGAGACAAATGGCCCTAAAAATGGAAAATGCAAGCCTAATATCCAAATGCAATGCATAAAAAGGGTAGAAAAAGGGAAACGAATGGCTAAGTCAAATGCTTGGACCCACTTAGGAAGTCCCCAGTGGAGTCGCCAACTGTCGCGCCCCACTTTTTGATTGTGTAGTGTGTGTGGTGTGTGAAGTGTGGTGTGAACGTGTGCAAAATGAAAAGTAAAAAGGCCATGGGACTTTGGAAAGCGACGATTTGGCCAAATGAAATTTTAAAAAAGGGTTTTTTAAATATGAAAACGGAGTCGCCACTTGGTATAGATTTGGGGTGTACCAAGTCACCCAAAAAGTGTTTTTTAAAGACAAAGTAGTAAAACCCTTTTTAAAACGACTCCTAGTCCACGTAAGCCAAAGAAAAAGGTTCGGGGGTCACGTTTGACAAAGGGGAAGGCAAGGATAGAATCCAAGGCACCCCTTTGACCTAGCCAAGGCTAGTTGCGCGACTTAACCTTACCTTTCCTAATTTTCTACCCAATATATGTTCGCACGTTGGATATGACTATATGAATGCAAAACGGAAAGAAAAATGCAATCCTAAATTCTACGATGTCTCTCGTGAGGCTTTTGGTCCCAAACCACATGAATTGTGGCGGCCAACAAAGGAAAACCCCATAGAGGTCGATTAATGCAAATGAGACTCAAGTGTGCAAGTGTGAAAGTGTATGAAAGAAATTAAAAATCCAAGTGTTTGTGTGCAAGTGTATGAAAAGGTGCACGTGTGTAATTGTATGAAAATTCCAAGTGTTTGTGTGCAAGTGTATGGAATATAGTGATAAGTGCATATAGGTGTAATTAAATGCAATTTTGTGAAGTAGAAATCAAAATGAACAATAAGGAAAGGAAAATGTGAATTGAAAAGAATGAGTGAGTGATAAATGAGAATGAATGAACCTAAGGGAATGCATCAGGTCGGGTATGGGAATGACTCCTAACTTGTCGACTTCGATTTTCCCTTTGATTAGAAGGCGAAACTAGCGTGCTAAGGCTATCGAGTAGCCACACTCGCTCGTTTCCCTTATCAGAAGGGGACCCTCAAGCAAATGGACCCTACAACTATCATGATATGCAAAAATCCTAAAATGAAGGGAAAGGGGGTTCGAGGAGCATGCCAAGTGATAAAACTAAGAAAAATGCATGATATGTGGTGCACAAGCAAATGATATGCTAATGAGGGGAAATCCCTAAGGGTCTAGCGTTGGACTAGCCCATTCTATGAATTCCGACTAGCGTTGGACTAGCGGAAACGTACATTCATCCATTCCATTCATTCATGGCTATGAAAGCAAGTAGACATGCCAAAATACTCGTAAACACATAGCACATAGCATTTAGCATGCTCGACTAGATGCAAGAGCCTACTAAAGCAATTAAACATGTAGCAACAAAAACAAGCAACCAAGGGGAAGGGGAAATGGACCAGATGCTCTACGAGCCCTATCTATTACAAGCCAAGAGGTGTACACATACCCCATAAAAGCATAAAGGGGAAGGGAAAATGGACCAAATGCTCTTCGAGCCCTATCTATTACAAGCCAAGAGGTGTACACATACCCCATAAAACTTAAATGAAAGTAAAAGCAAGCAAATGCAGGCAAGGAGGTAAGGAAAGCGGAGTAGGCATGCATATTCACATAACACGTAGGAGCACGTAGGAAAAATAAACTCAAGAATATAGAAGTTACCTCCCTTGCAACGGAAATCGAGTAAATGAGATATTAGCTTCAAAACAATAAAAAGGTCAAGGTACCAATTTATTTGGCAAATAATCACAAAGGATAAAAAATAAGCATGAATTTGAATCAATTAAATCATGTCGACAATTCACATTTAAGAAGTCAAGAGAAGAAAGGACCTGATTGCAAAGATTGACAAAGTTTGGAGGTCAAAATTAAAGAAAAATAAAGTTCAGGGACCTATTTGCAATTAATTTAAGGACCGAATTGAAAGAAGTTGAAAATGTCCAGGGCCACAATATAGCTAAGGAGAAATTCAGGGGCTGATTTGCAAATTTGCTTTCTGGTTTCTTAATGGACCAAGCCATTGGGCCATTTGCTTATTCGTTCGGGCCAAAATCACTTGGCCCAAACCGAAATCCAAAACAAAAAGGAATGGGTCATTTTACTTTGACCCAAAACATAAACCAACGAATTGATGGACTTTAAACCTTCGGCCCAGGACCAATCCAAATGAAAGGAAACCAAACCCAGTTCCAAGTAGCCCAAACAAATAATCTCTTATCACTTATTTCATTAAACCCAACAAGACAAACAAAATTATTAAGCCATAATTATGACTCATCATCAAGAATTAATCTATCCACAAAGTCACATAAAATATTCAAACAGAGGATTAAACTTAAAAAGGCAAAATTAGTTCAATTTTTCCAGATTTTGGGCCATATCAGAACAAGGGGGAAACTTGGGGTTCAATCATAATAAAATAGGGACTTAATTGAAGGAATCATGAAGGTTTAGAGGGTCACAATTAGAAACTCTGGAACTCTGGGGCTAAATTATAAAATAAAAAGCAAATGGAATGACTGAAGTTGATTTTGGACAAACGATCGTCTTCCCTAACAAATTAAACAATAGCCCGCCATTTCTGTCCTTCTTTCAAGCAGAGCAAGATAAAAAAAGTTTCAACTTAGACATTCTCCGCAGACAACGAAATCCACAACTTCTTTCCCTAACATCAATTCGGGAAGCAAAGGGGAACGAAAAGAAAAAAAAAAAAAAAATGCCAAACGCCAATACATCACAATTTTCAAACGTCCGGAGATGAGCTCGCTGACTTAACTAGTTTTTTCATACGAAAAAATGCAGGCAAATTAGTTTCCAATTAGCATTTCCAATTGGGCATTTTATCAAACACTGAATGGGCATAAAAAGTTTCAGCAGAACTTTGCTCAATTGAGATTACAATCAGCCCAAAATTAGTCAGAAACATAAAGACGTTCAGCCCCAATCAACACAGAAATCATGTAGGCTCAAATTTGCGCACAATCAACATAACAATGACAATAAGCCATTCTCTTCTGAGAGTTTTATAGGCCTAAGCTTAAAGAGAACCAAAATTTGAAAGGGGGAAGAGGACTCACAGCATCTGCTCGGCAACGATGGTGACGGACATTCGATGAGGTTATGGCAGCTCGGTGAATTGGAAACCTCTGTTGCCGTTGCTGCTCAAATCATCCATGGAAGAGGAGCAAATGGAGAAGCAGTTGACGAGAGGCTCTGGTCGCGGCCTTTCCCTCTTGCTTCTGCCTGAAGCTCTTCTGAATGGCCTCGGCTTCTACCTTCACGGCTGCGGTGGTTTCGATGAAGGTTGCGCGCGGTGAGGCAACGGCAGATGGCGTGAGGAAGAGAGGAGATTTGGGGTGGGCGGCAGTGCGCGAAAGAAAAACAAGGGGAGAAAACAGGGGCGGCCTCTGCTTCTCGTTTCTTTTTCCAGAAAATTTTTCCCCTGCCCGAGCTCTTCTTCCACCTTGATCAACCTTTGTCCGCCGCTCTTTCCTTGCTCTTTCCTTTCGTACCTCTTCTCAATTTCCATTTTTCCCTCTGTTTTTCCTCTCAAGGCCGAAGCCCCCTGCTTAGCTCTCCAGATTTTCATCGTCCCCTCCCCTCTGTTTTTCCTCTCTTGCTCTGTTCTCTTTTCTTTTTTTTTCTCTCCAAAGCCTTCACTCTTTTTCCTCCTTTGTGTTTCTGCTATCTGATTTTTCCTTAGCCGCGTCCTCTCCTGTTTTCATTGTTTCAGCCGTCTATTTTTCTGTTTTTTCTCCATGCCCGATAGCTCCCTTCTCTAATCTTCCCCTTGCGGCTGCCTTGCTGCTTTCTTTTTATATGTAGCTCTCAACTCTAAAACCCTCAGCAAACTCTACTAATATTGCAGCCCAAGGGACTGCCCAGGTCCTCTCTTGCAAGCTGCGTAAATACGCAGCTTGCTGTCGCGTGTTTTCTTTTTTTTTTTTTTTTTTTTTTTTTTTTTATAAAAGTATAATATAAATAGCTAATTTCCTAATGATAAATAATAACAAATAAATGCAGAAAAGCTAATTAAGATAAAACGACATGCTAATTTTCCTTCTTTCTTTTCTTCTTTTTCCTTTTTTCATTTTCAAGAAATTCTATGCTAAAAACTTAAAAATAATAATAACACAAAAAACTAAAAAACTAAAAACTAAAAAGTGAAAAAAACGAGCACAGACTAAAAAATAATTAGTAAATGAAATTACACCAAAATTTGGTGTCTACAGTTATTGTCATTGTTATCACAGAATCCAAAACCTTTGAAAAAATTCTGATAGTAGTTCGTTAGGTCTGACCCAAAAAAATTGACAAAAGAGTTTTTAACAACAGCAAAGGACAAATAACAAAGCAAACAATAAATTAAACAAGAACACAGAAATTTTACATGGTTCGATCAAATTGACTTATGTCCACCAGCAAATGAGAAAAATTCTACTATGAAGAAGAGAGTAAAAAAATACTTTACAAAAGTGTTCCTAAATCCAAAAACACCTAATACTAAAACACAAGAGAGTCCAAAATAATTTTACTAACAAAAAGGTTTAATGACCCAAAGACCAAAATAACCCACTAAAACTTTTTTGTTTGGTGTACTTAATCTTATCATAGGCCTACTCTCTTAATAGCCAACTAAGGGAAAGATTCCCTTGTACAAAAGGCAATATGGAACAAATCACACATAACACAATTGGGCAGTAGTAGGTGAAGATGTGATAAGACCAATTTACTATTTTGAGCAGAATCACATGTATTATCCCTTAAACAACACTATCCTTGCTTTAATTCCAAAATTGCCGATGCGATGCCTATAAGAGAGTTCAGACCTATTGCTTGGTGTAATGCATTATACAAATGCTATTCAGTGGTGCTTACAAATAGATTAGAAAAGTTATACCAGACCTGATTGGTGAGTACCAAAGTGCCTTTTTGAAGGGTAGGCAGATCGTGGATAATGCGCTACTGATGCATGATCTGGTTAGAGTTTATAACAGAAAAGGGGATCAGCCCAGAGCTGTCCTAAAAATTGATATCATGAAGGCTTATGACACTCTACAGTGGGATTTCTTATTCTTCTTCATGCAGAAGTTGGGATTTCCTGAGAAATTTATCAGCCGGATTAGAAATTGTGTTAGCACTGCTCATTTTTCTGTTAATCTAAATGGTTCACTTGTGGGCTATTTTCATAGTGAAAGGGGTTTGAGGTAAGGAGATCCCTTATCTTCTTACTTGTTTCTCATCGCTATGGAGATTTTCTCACTTCTTTTTGCTGCTAATATAAAGAAAAAGTTTCAACTTCTATCCAAAATGCAAATTGTTAGGCTTGTCTCATTTGGCCCTTGCAGATGACTTGTTCATTCTGTCAGCTGGAACTATTAAATCTTTTCAGGTGATTAAGGAGACCATTGAGGAATTTCATGCTATGTCTGGCTTCAATCCAATCTTGATAAATATCAGGTTTTCTATGCCAGCTTGGAGGATTCTACTCAGGATATACTTTCTGATTTGATGCAAATGAATGCTGGTGCATTACAAGTCAAATACTTGGGCCTGCCTCTTATATCCACCAGGTTGAGTTACAAGGACTGCCTCCTTGTATTTAATAAGTTACAATAGAAAATTCATGGCTGGACAAATTAAAAACTCAGCTATGGTGGAAGATTTCAACTTATTAAAACTGTATCAAATGGTTGTCAACTTTAATGGTCTTTACCTTTGATCCTTCCCAAAGGAGTAATCAAGAAGATGGAAAGCATCATGTCATCCTTTTTATGGCCTAGGAAGTCCAGAGTCACTATGGGGCAAAAGTAAGTTGGAAGGAAGTGTGCCAACCATGAAAAGAAGGGGGCTTGGGCCTAGTAGATTTAACTCTCTGGAACACCTGTTTAGTACTTAAACTCCTGTGGAATCTGTGCGAGAAAATGGATTCAATGTGGGTTAAATGTGTGTATACTTGCTGAAATAGAGATCAATTTGGGCAGTACAAGTCCCTTTTGACTATTTCTTGGTTTGGAGGAAATTGCTTAAAATGCGAAATATAGCTCAGCCTTTTGTTAAGAAACTGATAGATGATTGAAAGGACACATTCTTATGGTATGATCAATGGCAACCAATGGGTCCACTATACAAACACTTCCCTGGAAATTTGCTTAGAATTTTTGGCTTATCTATAAATGATCCTATTGCTAACCGCATTAAAGGTATGAATTGGAGATGGCCATGTGTATGAAAGTTTACTACTGAAGTACGGCTACTCAAACAACATACTCCCGTTGAGTTCTATCCATTTCCTAAGAAGAATGTGACAGCCCCACCTCCCCCTAAGGCGAACCAGAGGGTTCGGCGGGCCGCCTGCCCAGCTCTCGTCGGGACTCAGTCGTTCACTAAAGTCCTCAAATAAATTGCAAGAATAAACCTCAAATATTACAATATAAATCTCCAATATACATCAAATTCTCCAAAAGTTACATGTCAGAAGCGAAGCGAAAACAATTCCCAACTATACATAAAATGATTCCAAATCCAAACTGTACAAGATATAGGCCATCCAGACATGTGAATAAGCACAACAAGTCCTTTCTTCGTTTTGATCCCTGTGGAGGGGAATAAAATATTTTTGGGGTGAGCTAGAAGCTCAACGAGTAACCGGTAAAATCAGTAATCAAATCGGTTTAACAATAGTTCATTTCAATGATGTCATAAATTAAATGATAAGTCCAGAAACAATTACAACATTTACAAAACATTAAATATGGAGTATCAATAATTCAAGAAACATGTACAATGGAAAGCGATAGTAACATTCATGAAAAGGATACGTTCGTTCTCCTGCCATTTCCTTTTTTTTTTTCATTTGAAATTGCATTTTTTCATTCAACCTTTCCCGGACATCGTCCAGGCTCCACCAACCTCCACCAACCTACAAAGGTAATACTCGAGTATACCAAACGTTCACCCAGGTTCCTAATCGCCCGACCGAGTCCGCTTCTGGCTCGAGGCGACCGGTAACAAGGGGCAATGGCCAGTTCAGCCCAAAAGGCTTACATTCATGCGCAAGTAGCATTTAATCATTAATCATGAAAATATCACATTTATTTAGGTTGAGTGCGATAAAGTACACACTCGCCCAGAAAACTCGTTTTAACAATCATTGAAAGCACTTAACACATTATCAATCCATAATAACAAGTCAATAAGTCAAGGAAATATATCAAACAAGGAACACTCTCATATAAGCACGCATGATATGCAAGAAAACAGTTCAAAAGTAACTTTGGAAACAGTTCAAAAGTAAATAATGCAAGAAACGTTTCACAAGTACTTTGGAAATAGTTTAGGGTCACTCACCTCCACGGCTCAGAAATCATCTAGCATATAACATTGCCTTGCTCAAATCCAAGTCTTAGATCACAAACTCAATGCAAACAAATCCCTTCAAAGTTCGGACAACACTTCCCCTGAATTTGCTAACTTTTCCAGCCATCATGGCTTCATTATTTCCTCATTCCAACCCAAAGGTGCACACACAACAACAAGTTCATCCAATAGCCATTCAGCAAGCTCCAAGTAGTACTAGTACAAGTCAAGCTAGGGAAAAGTCCGGAAATGAAAGTTAAGCTCAAAACCAGAAAAACAGTTTTGACGTCATTTTGCGGTAATGGTACCAAAGGCGCTACGATTGTCGGATGAAGGTGCAAGACCCACCGTTTCGAAGCTAAGAGATAGGGTTACAATATTGAAAAAGGTCACTCAACCCAGTTTCGAGTGTAACCAGGTAAAAAATGCAAGATACTACACCAGAATCACAAAAACAGATTCACAGAATGCATTCTAGCGGAAACATCACAAAGCAGGCTATCCAAGTCCAAATCCATAAATTCCAAAATCAGCTGAAAGCTAAGAAACAGGGATAAATTTCATCAGAAGACCTCAACAACCAATTCGGAAGCAATTCCAGCCAAAACAACCAATTACAGGCGCAATTCTTACACTCGGATAAAACCAGGACAGCAAGGGTAATTTCGACTTTTCTCAGTCTACGCTACTCCGATTGACCTGAAATTGTTTAGGTACCTCTAAAATGTCATTCCCTACAACTTTCATGTTTTAAGCCAAGGCCAATTCGGCCTCTATCTATGAGCTATAAATTCGGGCAGAATGCACAATCATAAACCCTAACTTTCCAAAATTCTTCCAAAACAGAAATTGTTTGCAATTTACCACTTTTTCCACCTTCTAGCTTCCTTAAATATCATTTTCAATCATCATACATGACCACATAATCATATCCATATGAAAACAGAAAAATCCCCAATAATTATAAAACTTCACCAATTCAACCAAAAATCAAGATATAATCCATAAAAGTACATCTTATACCACCACTAATCATGATTTAAGCATCAATTAAGGGAGGAGGGTGGTTCTTCACAACTCACCTTAGCAACACAAGAAAGAGAGCAACTAGTCACCTTAGCTTTCCAAACAACTTCACAACCAAGCTCAACTCCACCAAACTAAGAGGTTTTATGGAGTAATTGGAAGATTAATCGGTTTAATTGAAAGATTGGGCAAGATTGGAGACTAGAAAATTGAGAGCTTTTCTTCTTTCTTTGAGCAAGAAAGTCGGCCAAGAGAGGTAAGAAAATGAAAATGATATTGGCCAATTTTTGGTATTTATTTGGTAAAGGTAAAGGTAAAGTTCAATGGTCAAAGTCAAGAGTAAATTAGATGGTGACACTTGTCACCTTTAGGTTTAAAACTTATCTTTTTGTCTCTCCAATACAAATATCTTAACACCTTATAAAATAATAGCACTTAATACAAAATTCCAACAAGTTGTCAAAAATATAATGCATTTACCGCACTTGCGGGTCCCACGTTCAAAATACGCTCTTAATTTCTCAAAAACTAACCGATACCAGAAAAATCATTTTAAAACTATCTTTGCTCATAAACTTTATCTGGGGAATTTTTCTAATAAAGAAAATGTAGAAAAGGCGGGTGATTAAAAAAAATAAACCCTAGAAAATTAGAAAATTTCCGGGTTCTCACTCTCATACTTTTCGGGGCGTCACAAAGAAGGATAAGACACTTTGGTTACCTAGCAACTCTGGCTATTTCATAGTAAAATCCGCTCTGCAAGCTATTAGACAAGCTGGTCCTGAAGTTCCTTGGTTTAAGCTAATATGGGTAAAAGATTCGCTCCACTATTTTCATTATGCTCTGATTGTTATGTAAACGAAGGTTATATACTAGAGACAGGATGAAGAAATGGAGATGCTTCATTGGGTCATCAGAGTGTGCATTATGTGGTAATGCAGAAGAGTCAATGGCACATCTTTTCTTTGAATGCATGATAGTTGCAGTAGCATGGCAAAAGATGCTAGCAATGCGCTTTATCTCTAGAAGTGCCTATTCATGGTCTATGGAGTTGGATTGGATGCGTACAAACTAGAAATCAGACTCTATCTTGATTGGTTTCGCAGGCTGATATTGAGCGTGAGTGGAAAGCCCGGAACGAGGCTATACATCAAAATATCCAGGCGTCTGCTTTTAGCATCGTGAAGACTGTTATTGACACCATGAGGCATGCATATTGTGAGAAATTTCTAATTTTGTGATGAATTTTAAAAAAAAATCTACAAAAGGGTGATTTTGGTAATGGATTCCGTCCGGGGGTCTTCGCATTCGTGAAATGCGAGCTCTACTGAGCTCGCATTTCACGAATGCGAGGTTAAAGTAGAGCTCGCATTCGCGAAATGCGAGCTCTACTTATTGAGCTCGCATTTCGCAAATGCGAGCTCTAATTTAATTTTTTTTACTTTTTTTTTTTGGGAGCTAGAGAATTTTTTCCAGAAAATAGTAAGAGATAAATGCGAGCTCCTAAATGTTTTTTTTTTAAATTTTACAAATAGCTCGCATTTGATAAATTTGACCTCCAAAAATTGTATTTTACTTTTTTGTTAGATTTCGCATTTATAAGTATGAGTTTCAGAAAATTAAATTCAAACTTGTTAGGAAAAAATTTTAAAATGAAATTTACGAGCTCCATAAAAAATATAAAATTAAATGTAAATATTGTTTGTTTTGTAGAATTTGCCTTTACTAAAATATTGTCGATAGTAAAATCTTATTTTAAAATGTCTACTAAAATTTCTACTAAAATCTTATATTTCGGAGAAATATTAGAGAAATTTTATTTAAAAAACTGTAATTAGCAGAGGAATAAATTTTTTTTATTTTAAAACTTGCACGTGCCTAAAGTCATCAAATATGTGTTCTAAAAAAAATTCATATTCACAATAATCTTTTTAATATAATTTACTATACATGCATAATTCTTTTATAATAAAAAAAATTGGTAATTGTACGGTTGGAAATACGTTATTTTATTATAATACATTTAAATGGTGGAAAAAGTACACATGCATAGTTCTTTCTATTTCATAGATCAATGTAAAAATAGAATGAAATTGTTAACATGTAAGGTGTTGACTATTTTTTATGAATAAAATATTAAGTTTGTTTCCTTTTTTATCAAATAAATTATTTTGATCAAATTCTAATTTTCCTTTGTTATTAACTAATCGTATTTATTTGTTGACACCGATGAATATTAGTTATAAGAATCTAATAGTTAATAGTCATTAATATATGTTACAATTTCAACTATAATTTTAGAAATTTCATAACGCAATGTTATTTAAAAAAATTATATAAGTTATTTTTATGAAGTGCATGTTATATGTTTGGTAGTTGAAAAGGAAAAGAAAAAAAAATTAAAGCAAAGATCTAGCGATTAAATCTTGCGTGTTTTACCTTTTACAATTATTGGTAGGATTACTATTTTGATTAAAAATATAAAGCAATAATCAAGACAAAGTTATTGTCATGCAAAAATCCTAAAACCCTAAGTGCTAAAGCCGTAAAATACTAAATCGTAAATCTTAGAAACCAAATCCTTGTAAACTCTAAAACATTAAATCAATGTTGTTGGGTTTATTAAAATCCATTAAAAAATATTTTTGCGGCACGATAGGATTACTATTTTAATTAAATATTCTAGTTTTTGAAGATCAAACTCACCAAATTGATGTTTTTGATTTCAAAAAACTCAGGGTTAATGCTCACAAGAGTATTTGAGATGTTTTTGTGGTGAAATTTCAGAGGATTAATGGGCAAAATGGAAGATTGGTCAAGGAGGGTTAGGGTTTCGGTGAGAGAGAAGGAGAAGAAAGCTGAAAAGTGAGGAACCGAGCCCGCGGTTCCATTCATATCGCGAAACGATCCGAGGTCGGATCTCTTATCAATGCCATCGGATCCGACAGGGGCTCGGATCCTCACCGCCAGAAGCACAGACGAGCCGTCGGATATGTCTGGAATTTCTTAGATCCGAGCTCGGATTAAAAGATCCACGGTCGGATCCAACTAGATTTTTCGGATCCGAGCTCGGATCTGTATTTCTCTGCACTAATTGCAGAAACTGCAATTTTTTAAACTTTTTCTCCCTTTTCCGGCCAATTCCAAAACACGCTTTGGACTAACGTTTTATCAATTCTAACCTCCCACGTACATGTAATATACCCAAAATACAATATCCAATCTCTCAAAACACATCAAACACATCTTCATTGAAAATCGAGGGGTGAGGTTCTTTGATCATTTTCTTACATTGTTACACCAAAATGGAACTTTTGGGCATTTATGCACATCAAATGAGTCCATGAGCATTTATAAACATGTTATCACCAAAACTCACCTGAATATACTTAAAATGCAACATTGTATGTATGCTTGCCAATTCTAAACAATGTGAAGAACGAAGTTAGGTTATAAAACCTCCCTTTTTTTACACTTGTTCTTCAAATGCACCTTCAAAATGGAAGTTCCGATATGTAACTAATTTACCGTGTATAAAATAGATGAGAGGTTAGTATAATCCATAAGAGTACTCATATAAAGTGAGAACTCAAATAACCTACATTTTTTTGTCATATTCACAAAAGAGTACTCATATAAAGTGAGAACTAAGATAGGCGCGATGGCATTGTTCCACTCATATTCGTGAAATTTTAGAATACATACAAAATTTCACCAAAAGAGTATGCAATCCAAAAGTTGGGTTGTTTATACAATAACGATATAAGTAGCATGCCATCAATGCTGCCCAAGTCTTCCATGAGTACCACATGTTGTTGGTTTGGGTATTTTTTGACTTCACCGTGGTCGGTTTGGCACTACTGTATGGACTTGAGTAATATGTGTCAACAGTGTAGCATCTTTGTGACGACCCACTTCCCCCTAAGGCGAACCAAAGGGTTGGCGGGCCGTCTGCCCAACTCTCGCCAGGACTCACGCAAGCATTCTAACCCAAAACCTTTCAAAGAATAACCTAATCTATTACAAAACAACTTTTCCCGAATAGGATCATCCTTAAATCTACATTAACTTCAGAGATAGCAGTGATAAAAATAACCAGTCGAGGCTCTTAAACGTCCCACGTGCTACGTACCAAAGATATAAAGTCGTACCAATCCGGAGATAAAATACATAAATCCCAAAAACAAACTTACAAACCAAGTAATCGAATTAGGGTTTACACATTTTCCAGCTTCAAGTGGCAATCAAAAAAAAAAAAGAAATTACATTATCCCAAATAACACATTACAGCCCACAGAATAAGTCATAGTGTTCGAATACAATCAAAAAGGTAAACATAAGTAAGCATCCAGCTTTCAGTTTCCAGAACCTGTTAAGGAAAACAATAAACGTGGGGTGAGCTAAAGCTCAGTGGTGCCCCAAAACATGCAATCACATAATATCAAATAGCGGTTAATAACTTAGCAAATTTAAACAATTAGAAAGCGGATAACAACACAAGGTAGGATACGTGGGCTCTCAGGAGCCATTTTCCTCGCTTGATCACCATTTCTCGTAGTTGACACTCCGTCAACTCTCACTACTTATAATCCATGTAGAGCGTCTCATTTTGATACCTAAACCGTCACCATTCATACCCCTGTCCCGGGCCCGCTCACCGACTAAGGACGTAGTATACTCGAGATATACCCGTCATGGTAGTTGGATACAGAAGCCGAGGGATTCACCCAACGACGCAACTACATTTAGATTTATGGTAGTCGGATACAGAAGCCGAGGGATTCACCCAACGACGCAACTACAATTAGATTTATGGTAGTTGGATACAGAAGCCGAGGGATTCACCCAACGACGCAACTACATTTATGGATTCAGGAGAAAAATGTTTTGCACAAGTCACCACTCGAACGGCTAGTGCGATAAAGTACACACAGCTCACTTCGATGGATCAGAAACCAATTTTTCAACTTATCACATATCAAGTCAAGAAGGTACTTTAAGCAGGTAAGCATAGAACAGGCAGGGGCACTCACCAAGAGTGGAGTTCAGATATCAAGTTGGGAATTGAATTCCGCGTCCTCGCAATACCCTAAAAACCAAATTTTGAAACTATAAGTTTCTACTTAGTTTTTAAGCTTATAGACATTGAAGTATATCTAATATACTATCAGTTCACTTTTCCTTAGAAAAATCAAGAGTCCCTTAGGTTAAAACTTGACAAAAGTAGAAGAAATGTTTCCTATAGTTTTCCTTGAGTTACTTTTCTTATAAAAAGGGTAACTAGTATTATTTTATTGAAATAAGTCGACAAACCTCTTAATATCAGAGTTAGAAAGTTACTTTGAACATTTCTCTAAAGTTACGGCTTTTGCAAAAATTATCCCTAAAAACTATTTTTCCTAAAATAGGGTTTCTGGCCGAGCAAGTTTCCCAGGCTTTTCACAAAATTCATTAAAACTCGTATTTTGAAACTTTTCCTATAGTTAACTAGCCAAGATCAATACTTAATGAAAGAAAATGAATTAAAATAAGACTTAGGGTTTTCAAAAGCTATAGAATTTATTTACTATAGCTATCAAGGCTAGTTTGAGCTAAAGGAAATTATCGGTTTGGAAAGTTTTAGGCGAAACACTAGATATTAAGTTTATAATCTAATACTAGCTGGAAAATATTTTTTGATTAATTTGATCACAGTTACCCGAGTTCGCAAGGTCGAAACGACTTCCACAGCTCCGATTCCGTTTCGAAATCATATTATGGATCAAATATGGCAAAATCACATAGCAAATCACTAGGGCTTCGTCAATCATTAGCCCTAGATTTCAACAAGTGCATCTCTGAATAAAATAAAATAGTCAACCAAGGCTTCATCAATCATTAGCACTTGGTTTCAGCAAGCCCATCATAAACAATTAAAAATAAAAGTAAAGCCTCCAAGACACTCCAGCAATTAACTTCCATCACCCTGTATTACTTATAAAATCATTCAAATGGCCAAGGGCTTCATCAATCATTAGCCCCTGACAATATCAATTACTTCTAACCACAATTTAATCAAGAATTTAAACCACAAGTAAGCTACAAGTTCAATCCAAAACCCAATTTCAGTTTCACAAAGAAACAGGACATTCCTACCAAAACAGTCTACTTCAAGGATTTACAGACAGCAGTATACATGGAGGAAAAATACGAAATTTCTAAAGGACAAAGGCCTATGTTTCTAGTTTCAAATGCCACTGAC